CCATGAAACAGTCCTGGCATGTGCTGGCAGAGCATCCCAGAAGTGCAGGGAGGTGTTGCGCAGGTCCAGGGCCTGATGTGCTCTGTGGTAAGGGCTTGACCACAGTAGCAGTAGGCGCAACAGTCTAAGAGGAGACGGAAGAGGACTTAAATGCGGCTGAGCATTTGGCCTTGCCATGGGCTGTGCGTGCGTGCGTAGAAGGTGCCACATGAAAGAGCGGTCTGTCTGTGCTGATGGATGCCCCGGGGAAGATGGGAACGCTGGAGAGAGAGAGCCTTGCACAGGGACGTAGGAAGCCCTTCGGCTCTTCAGCAGAGCCCCCCAGTGAGCTCAACCTTGACCACACATGGTCCTGACCCCTCACCTCTCTTATTTCTTTAAGCGTAAAAAAGGAGCTGGCAAGCTTATCCCAGATCAAGGGTTGAGTGAACTAATAAGTGTGGGGCACAAAGTCTGGCGGGCACTAGGCCAACATAGAGTTTTCTCTTGACTTCCCTCTACAGAGAGGTGGCCACTGGTTCTGTGGCTTGGCTCCAGTAGCTATAAAAAGCTACATATACATGCACGCAGTTGTCATCACGCCGACCTTGTGTGTGTAGAATACAACTGGGCTCCATAGGGTTCTCAAAGACTGTGAGCTTCCAGGAGCAGATCACCAGGCCTTGCTGCAGCAGCACCTCTGGATGGACTTGAACCACAAACCTTTTGCTTCGTATAGTTGGAGCACTGACACACTTGCCCCCCTCCCCTGGAGACTCTCCAGTCTCCAGAGACAGCATTGATTTGGAGCGCCTTGCTGCCACAGTTCTGTGGGAAACTAAGCTTGTGATCCAGGGTTTCTAACAGGCCAGTAAGGGAGGACTCAGGAGAGATGCGTGTGTGTGGGAATGCCTGGGGAAGTGCATCCCAGAGATGCCGCTTTCCTCCAACCATTAACATTCCGGGAAGGAAACGGGGATGTGATGGGGCTCCCAAAAACCCAACGGAAAGCTGACTCCCCCTGTCCTTTCCATCTCTCGCAGCGTGCACAGTCGGAATGCCTGAGTGAGCTGACCTGCACCCCAGAGGAGGAGGAGGAGGACGAGAGTCCGCTGTTCAAAGTCAGCACAGAGGGAAACCCCAGTGCTAGGCAGCAGGATTTGGGGCTGGACAGAGGCCCCGAGCTGGGAGAGCCGACCCCCATGCTGCTCCCCGGGGGCCCCCGTCTGAGACGGGCACGCCTGCAGCACTGCCCCGCTCTCAGTGCCAGTGTGGAAGAAGAGAGCTTACCTGGAGATGAACCCCCAAGACACATGGCCACCCCAGAGGTCACTCAGCCTGACCCAGGCCCAGCACTCTGCTTGGAGTCCCTGCCTCCACCAGAAGGCACCCCAGCCCCACAGCCTGATGCCGGCGGTGTTGAAAGCCAGCGGGAAGAGCTGCCCATTGCTGGCGGGTGTCCCCCTGCTGTGGACACAGCTGATGGGGAGGTGTGTGCTGCTGGTGAAAGCGGGAATCCAGTGTCCGTCTGCATCCCAGAGGACATGGCACCACCCAAGACTGTCACCCTTACCACCTCGGAGACACCCTCCAGTCCAGAAGGGACAGACCCAAGTGTCCAGAAGGATGTGGCAGTGACGCTGGCTGTGCCCAGCCCCGAGGGAGCAGGGAAGGAAGCGCCCGCTGCCCCTGCCGCAAGCCCACAGGTCCCCAAGAGTTGCTTGAAACACAAG